ACAGTGGCAACATACCTGTTTTTTGTACTAACAGAACTAGTGACCACTGTGCATTTAGCAACAGTTCACTGCCAGACCTGGAAATTCTAATATATACTTTAAAGTATATATTAAAAGTTCCTTTGAAAAGTCTTTTCATTAAATCTTTTAGAGGTATTAATTCTGTCAAGAAAAAAAATACTGTCCTTGTGAATAGATGACCAGTGGCAACATACCTGTTTTTTGTACTAACAGAACTAGTGACCACTGTGCATTTAGCAACAGTTCACTGCCAGACCTGGAAATTCTAATATATACTTTAAAGTATATATTAAAAGTTCCTTTGAAAAGTCTTTTCATTAAATCTTTTAGAGGTATTAATTCTGTCAAGAAAAAAAATACTGTCCTTGTGAATAGATGACCTTTACAGTTTTAAGCTAGTTGAGTTTATATTCCGTTAATAAAACTGATGATAAAATAAAAATTGGCTCTTTCTGAATTTAGTTTGGTTCATGTTTCAGTTTTATGGTACAAATGGAAAGGCTTTAGGTTTTGTGTTCCATAATGGTGACCTCTTGTGGTATGAGTGTGTCAGTATTTCTGTAATTACAGCTTTCTGTAATACATTCTATAGGAACTTGTACTTACATGTAATTTTTTATGAGCAGATAACTTAATAACTTAGTGAAATGATTTATAATCTTTTCTGGTTAGTTATTAATATGCAGGTCTCATGATGAATGCACGTGAAGAAAGAAGCATTTTGGGCTTTGCATTCTGATAATACTCTTGTGTGTCCATACTGTGTCTTTTAGTGACCAGATGAAAAACCCTGGCACAAATTCGTCACAGCCAAGGAGTTCAGGCTGGAAGAGAAGAGTAACAGGTATTTCATTAAAAAATATTAAATGCAGACCAATAGAAAGGATCTAATTTATGTGATTTGAAGATCTTTTATTATTCACTGAATTCTGGTTTTCTAGATATATTGCGGGTTTTTTACTGTTGTTGTTTTGTAATCTGGCATAATTGTACAGAATCTAATAAAGTTATGCCAGGCTCTGTTATCTGAAGACACAGATTCTGGATTGCCATGTGGGGATGCATTTTGCTGATTGTACATAACATATTTTAGTTAATATTTCCTTGTAGGTGGCACATTTCATACATCACCAGTGCATATTTGAGAGTTTGGTATGGAAACTTGAATTTCTCCCGTGTTATTATTATGCTTTATTACGATGTTTCTAGAACTGAGAAGTTGCATCATTCTGGCAAAGGCTGCAATGTGCTCTGCTGTCATTTCCTTCAGAGGAGCTGAGAGTATTTACCATGCCATGGGAATTAGTATTCTGTGGGGCTACATTTTCTCTGCTTATAAGCCTTTTAATTTATTTCTGCTATTTTGTTGGTGTTATTGAAAAAAATCATGTGTGTTGTTAGGATTGTTTGGTTTTATATCTACTTTTCTTAACATTCTGTGGCTTCCTTAGTTTGTGCATGCTTCAGCTTTAATCCCAGCATAAACAGTGGGTTAGCAGTAGGAATTCTCTCTCATTTCTTCCCTGTAGTGGGGTCCTGAGTGGAGTGTTCATTTAGAGATTATTTCTGTTTTCTGATATGATTTGTGCTTATGCTTTCACATTTTGGAGTGGAGGTAGACTGTTTTAATATTGATCTGTTCGTAGCCACTCAGTATTCAGTGGAAAGGCTAAACATCATAAGTCAGGCAGTACACGGCTTTTGAAAGCTCAGTGTTGCTAAGGCTCTTGTATTTACATGCTAAAAACAGCAACCAATAAATGTAGACTGATTAGTGATTTTTTTTTTTGACCAGAATGCAAAGCAGTGGTTAAGACCTGTGAAAAACTGAGACAACCAACTTCAACTTGCTGAATTCTTTTGCTTGAGTATTTTTGCTGTTGACGTGTGATTCGCTCAATTAAAAAGTTCAGGACAGCTGCTGCAATATTTTAAATACAGCTGCTACCCTAACTTTTCATCAGCAGCTTAAAAAAATCTACCAGGATTGAGACACATACAATTTTCCAATTTATTAATGTTGCTTTTCTTTATAATCATGTATTTTCTGTCCATTCTTATTGTTAGGATTAATATTGTTTAGTAAAAGCTGATTATCTTCTTTTTTTGCCTAATTATAGGAGATATTTGTTTAAAAAAATCATGCCATTATGACTTGCAGGTTGCTATATATCTCTGGTGAATGTAAGACAAGTGAAGCAGAAGGATACAAAAATATCTATTCTTTTTGTTCTGAACTAAAAATTAAATGACTTTGTTGATTTATTTTTTTAGTGAGAAGTTTGGTCCTATCTGCAGTGACCATCCTGAGCTAATGTATTTCTTGCTTAATAAAGTTAAGCATGTGTGTAGTTAGAGAGTCAGTCCCATCTTTCAGTTTAAGAGAGGTAGCTACAAATCAGAAAGAAAAGAAATAGTTGAGTCAATATGTGGGTTTTGTGGCAGGAAGGAGCAGTGCTAAAACTATTGTAGTGTTCTCATTTCAGCTGTGCTTTTGCATAAACCAGAGCAGAACTTTCACTTCACTGCAAATGGTGAATAGTGTTTTATTAATTAAGCAACTCATCAGTCTAAATTATTATTGTCAGTCGATTATCAAATAATTTGATCTGGAAAATAAAAATGGTCTGCAAAATAAGTAGTATTAGCTGAAGGCCAATGGCATCCTGGCCTGGATAAATAAGTAATATTAGCTGGAGGCCAATGGCATCCTGGCCTGGATCAGGAACAGTGTGGTCAGCAGGACCAGGGAGGTGATTCTGCCCCTCTACTTGGTGCTGGGGAGGCCACACCTTGAGTACTGTGCTCAGTTCTGGGCCCCTCAGCTCAGGAAGGATATTGAGGTGCTGGAGCAGGTCCAGAGTAGAGCAACGAGGCTGGTGAAGGATATTAGCTGGAGGCCAATGGCATCCTGGCCTGGATCAGGAACAGTGTGGTCAGCAGGACCAGGGAGGTGATTCTGCCCCTCTACTTGGTGCTGGGGAGGCCACACCTTGAGTACTGTGCTCAGTTCTGGGCCCCTCAGCTCAGGAAGGATATTGAGGTGCTGGAGCAGGTCCAGAGTAGAGCAACGAGGCTGGTGAAGGGACTCGAGCACAAGTGCCATGAGCAGAGGCTGAGGGAGCTGGGGGGGTTCAGCCTGGAGAAGAGGAGGCTCAGGGGTGACCTTATCACCCTCTGCAACTCCCTGACAGGAGGTTGGAGTCAGGTGGGGGTTGGTCTCTTCTCCCAGGCAACCAGCAGCAGGACAAGAGGGCACAGACTCAAGCTCTGCCAGGGGAGGTTTAGGTTGGATATTAGGAAGAGATTTTTTACAGAGAGAGTAGTCAGGCATTGGAATGTGCTGCCCAGAGAGGTGGTGGATTCACCATCCCTGGAGGTTTTCAAGCTGAGACTGGATGTGGCACTTAGTGCCATGATAGGGTTGGACTTGATGATCTTTGAGGTCTTTTCCAACCCGATTGATTCTATGATAACATCTGCTAATATGTGTATTTGCAAGCACCAACAATCTATAGCTAGTGTAATGACATGCTTGCCAGTGTGTTACTTATGAAACAGCAGCATTTGTGTACAGTCTGTTGAAATAGATGTATTTGATAGATTCATTGTGTGTAAAATATAGATAGTTAAAGTTAATACAGATCAGGAAAAGAGTGGATTTTTTTCCTCAAGAGCCAGCTTTTAAAATAGGAAGTTTTTAATTATTTCACTGTTCCAGGTAATGCTTAGTGGACAGTCATGGTTCTCAGGATGCAGACTTCTTGTTATTGGTGTTCTCATGTAGGACAGTGTGTTTTTGTGTTTGGTAATGATTGCATTAAGACTTTGTTGTCATTTAAATGCAAGAGCTGGTAGTGAACAGCAGGAGACACTCTCAGACAAATTTGTCACTTAAAAAGAAATGTATATATTCCAGTCTTTCTGGCTTCCTTCATTTTATTTAGTGGAGTTGTGTGACTTTTATTTCCCTATTAAAAACCCCAAAACAAACACAGTGCAACAAGCCACACCTTGTATTTAAAACAATAACTTTGGTTGCCTGCAAGATCAAGAGCTTAAGCTATTCTTGCACTCCAAACCTATGCCTAGATGCACCTTGTTAAGGAATTGTGCTAGTGCACACTGCCCGCTCACGGTGAGCTTCTCATCCAAATTTTTAAAAACTCTCTTTGTGAAGCAGTTGAGGTTTCTGGAAATAAACAGTGACTTTTTATCAGTTGCAGGAGATGGTTGAGGGTAGCCAAGAAAACTGGGAGTTGGTTGCCTTCAGTATTTCTGACATGTTTACTGGAGGCAAAACATCTTTCAGATACCTGTAGTTTGCTGTCCATTTCCCAAGATCATGGAATCATCAAGGTTGGAGCAGACCTCTAAAATCATCGAGTCCAACCATTAACCTGCCACTCTGTTGTAACCCCTAAACCCTAAACCATATCCTGGAGCGTCAGATCCAGACACCTCTTAAACACTTCAGGGATGGTGACTCCACCACCTCCCCGGGCAACCTCTTCCAGTGTCTGATCACTCTAACAGGGAAAACATTTTTCCTAACATCTAATCTGAATCTCCCCTGTTTCAGCTTACGACTGTTCCCTTTAGGAATGAGGGAATGCCAGATGCTGTGTGAAAAATTGTTGAGCACAATAAATAATAGAAGGCAAACATGCATTGTACAAAAAATTTAGTTGTGGTGCTCTCAAAACTAATTGCATGAAGTAGTTAGTATTCCTAATGGGATGTAGCAACTAACAAGACTATTTTCTCTAACTGACCAAAGAGTCAGTTAATCAAGCTTAGTGTAATATCATCCATGTGTACTAAGATAAAATTGTACAATCCTAGAGGACTGGCTGTAGTATGGATTGTTTTGACTCAGAATAAACTGTCATGTGGACAGAGCTGAAACATAGCAGGACACATTGATGTATAAGTAGTCATTACCTTCCAATTCAGTGATCAAATGAAACATTGATGCCAGCAAACAGAAGCTTTAGAGTACAGCTTCGCATATCAAAACATTTATCCATCTAGTTTTGTTTGAAACTTTTGGTTTTGAGGAAATGTAAACAAAAGCTTGAATAGGTAAATTAACCCATTATATAGCAAAATGTGACATTTTTAGGGTTTTTTTTCCTGACTGATGAATAAAGTATTTATTTGTGTAGAAGTTGAAACCTTCACTGAATGTTTTTGTTTTGAATGTGTTTTGAAGGCTTAGAGGATGAAACAAGAATAAATGAATGGGAAGAAGAGGAAGTCTTTTGGCATGTAAAGATTCTACCAATTCTGCGTGAACTGGAAAAAAGTGGGTATTACTGTTCTTGAAAAGGTTTGTATTTTCTGTGCTGTTCCCTGCAGGAAACATGGGACTCAGTTGTATTTACTACAACATAGTAACAGTAGTTGGAGTTTGTAAGCTTTTGTATGTTCAGTGACTTCTCAGTGTAAAACTGGCCTGGGCAGTCTAGCTGTCACCTGTCTCTAGGTGGTCCTGCCTGAGCAGGGAGGTTGGACCAGGTGACCTCCAGAGGTCCCTTCTAGCACCATCCATTCTGTGTTTCTGTAAAAAAACCCAGCTGGTTTAGATAAGATCTTGTGTGATTAAATTACCTGATTTTTGACTGTATAGCTCTGCCAGCTTAGTAGTCAGTGATGATTTAATAGTTTTAAGAATAAAGTACTGTTCAGATTCACTGCTTGAACCATAGACTGTATTGAAGGTCTAAGTTAATTCTAGAAAACGAAAGAAATCTGAACGAAAATTTTCGTTTGTGCTGACTGTGTTAGATATAACAGGACAACTGCATGAGGTTCAACAAGGCAAAGTGCTGGTCCTGCACTTGGGACACAACAACCCCAGGCAGCACTACAGGCTGGGGAGGAGTGGCTCGAGAGTTGTTCATCAGAAAGGGACTTGGGAGTGCTGGTGACAGTGGCTCAATATGAGCCAACAGTGTGCACAGGTGGCCAAAAAGGCCAATGGCATCTTGGCCTGGATCAAGAGTAGTGTGGCAGCAGGACTAGGGCAGTGATCACTCGGCACTGGTGAGGTCACACCTCAGTGCTGTGTTCAGTTTTGGGCCCCTCACTTTAAAAAGGATATTGAGGCACTGGAGTGAGTCCAGCCAAGGGCAACGAGGCTCAGAAAATGTCTAGAACACATGTCCTGTGAGGAAGGGCTGAGGGAGTTGGATTTGTTTAGCCTTGAGAAGAGGCTCATGGCTCTCTACAACTCCCTGACAGGGGTTATAGAGAGGTGAGGGATGGTCTCTCCTGCCATGTCTGCATGGGCCTTGATGGTTCTATGACCCAGGAGTAATGTGTGTAATGACCCAGGAGACTGAAGCAAAATTGAGTAAATTAAGTATGGCTTGAAAGATTAAACTCTGATCTCCATTTTAACATTTCACTCAAAAGTTTGCTCAGTTGCCTTGTGTAGCCACTCTATTTATTTGAGTTGTGGGAATATAGAAAGTAGATTTGTTTTTACAAGTGGTTCTGTTTTACAGAATCTTTTGCAGTGTTCATTATAGCATGGTACAGATCAGAAAGTTTTTTTGGCATAGTTTTGCAGGTGTTGATGAGTATAGAACACCTGTACAGTACTAAGTGATGCCCAAAATATATAATTATTTCTAAAAGACAGGATTCTCATTCCCACGTCTCTCACTGATGTGTGGAAAAACAGCAACCCAGAAATTTGAAAACATCTGTGCGACTCCATTTTCCTTTCTTAATGCCAAGATTCTCAAATGTGAGCCACTGAGTTAGTGTTTTGCACAGTGAGATGCTCTTTATTGGTAAGCAAAATAATATTTAGAGGTAAAATCTAATCATGTCTTTCCCTTGTCATGAATGTAGCTAAGGCAAATCAATTTTCATGCCCCCTTTTCTCAGTCTTTTCTTGATTTGGTTAGTGTGTTGGGGTTTTTTTAGCTTTTTTGAAAACTTGATCATGGCTTAGTATTTCTAATAATGGATGACATTACATGATGGTACTTTCTTACCATCTGACTGAATGTAGTACTACAAAACTCTTAAAAGTTCAATTTTGCTGCTTCTTGAATATTCACAGAAATTGTAACTGAACTGCTTCATTGCCTCCTGTAGCCACGTGATATATTGCTTTCTTTAGGCTGTTTACTGTACAATTACAGTTTTTCATATCAATATCAAAATGAATATTAGAATTCTGTAATTTCAATATTTTGAGTGGGTCTGTTGGTAATTTAATATGTTTTAATTTCATGTGCAGCCATTTGCTTCAAACCTTTCAGCTAGTTCCCTGTACATGCACTTAGGTCACATTTAGTTTTTCATATGTTAATAGAAAAGCCTTTTTCTTCCTCTTTCTACATCAAAAATATTTGAAGAAAACTTTCCATTCAAAACCAAAACTGAAGTTTAACCAGAAAATTACTGTCTAAAATCATCTGAATATGATGTGTTTGTGATGATTGTTACATGACAAAAACTAATAGAACCCCAAAGTCTCTTTTTCGAGAGGAACAAATAATTTATTTGGTTTCATTCCAGTACTGAGGAGAAGCTTCAAAAATGCCCCATGGGATGAGTGATGGAGAATTGTTGTTGTTTTTAATTTTGATGAAATGGAGTGCAAGACCTTTGAGTTTTGGTTCCTTGCCACTCCTGTTTCACAGCTTACTGGAGCAGAGCATTTAGAGTCATGCTAAATTCTGTTACATTTTCTATCATGATGGGAATAGGAATGGAATAGTCATTGCTGTTCCTTGAGTGTGATGATTGCAAATTGAAAGCTTCCAAGCACTTCTCAGCGTGAGACTACCTACAGGTCTGGGGCCTCAGACATGTTTTGTGTTGTAATTTCCTGTCCATACATATTTCATCACAAGTGCTTTGCCTCCTTAAATATAACTCTGTTGCAGCTCTGAGGTACATCCTGAGCAAATGCAGAGTTTATACAGGCAGTTTAAGTTGGTTTTTGTGGTGCTTTAGCAGTGTCACCTTATAGACAAAAGCAAATGTAGGAAAAGGAAAAAATCTCACTGTTGAATTTTAAAAATCAACCAGACTTTTCATTTTCTCTCTAAAGTAAACATGATTCCATTTTGTTGAGATGCAGTTTTGGTAATAATTTACTCTTAAGTTTTTGGGTTTTTTTTAGTATTTTAAATAGAGTCTGTGAGGCATTCAGGTGAGGAGGTAGATGACTTTTCTGTCAACAGGCCAACATTCCACTCAACTATATCTTGCTCCTCTACTATACATTGGAGAGCTCTAACAAGTTTTTACATGGAGTTGTTTTTAACCCCAGGAAGGTTTGATATATAAGGTTATGTATATGGGGAGAAAAATGTTCCTAAACTATCTGTTTTTCACACGTAATGTTTGGTGGAGCACTTTAAAGAATATATCCAGAGACACAGTTTCCTGTTAAACATTTAGTCAATCTGATTATTGAGCATTAAAGGTGAGTTTTATTACAGCTTTAGGTATTATTTTGGCTCTGTGATTTCTTGCCTTGAGTCTCCCCTTTTTGAAAGAGCAGAATAAAACTGTTTCTGAAGATCACATTATCATTTTAAGAGATTAATTTAGTGCCTTATTTTTGTTGTTGTACAACCCATTCTTTATTTTGTTCTCCTATGTCTCTATCTATTGAGATGCTCTGGATAAGGTGGCACTGATAATTATCTTTTATTTTTCTCTCCCTTCCCACACCCTTCAAGTAGAAGACAATATAGAAAATCTTTGTCTGGCTTGTACCAAGCTCTATCAAGCATTGAATGAAGGAAATATGCTTGGAAAAAGATGTAAAAGAAGAAATGTGCTTCTGAAGACATTATATAAACTTGTAGACATTGATTCAGATCCACTTTGCCTGAAGCTGGCAAAGATTATTCTGGCTGTAAGTGTTTTGAAATGCTGTTTGGTAGAATGTGAAGCTCAGAATAGTGAATTACAACTTGAATTTAATTTTTCACTTCATGCTTTTAAACTGTGTCTAAACTAACCCTTTTCTAAGTACAGTTTACTACCAGAGAGATAAAAGTTTCCCATTCTTTCTGTCTGAGGGAAGAAGGAGGGACACCAAATAGGACAACTGGCATATGGTGGCAGGAATATTGTATCGACTTGAAAAAGAGACAGTGTCCTAAGCTGGGATACACATGCTGGGATTTAAACAAAACAATAATTATAAAATTTTCATGTGGAAATGAAGCTTAGTTTTTGAATAATATCTTGACTTTATTAAACATCTTTATCTGAAAATGCCAAAACAGGTTTGTTAGTTGGTTTTTTTTGAAAGTACTTTTAGTTAATCTGTTTCTTTAGTATTTCTGGTTAAAACTCTCAATTAAGTTTGTGCTTTTGAACCTCTTGGTTCATGTTCTGCTAAGTACATATGGTCAGTGACTGATGAAAGGATGCCAGCTAGCCTTGTGTTGTAGTCATCTTAGCAATTTGTCTGTGTGTGTTGGGGGAGGCTTGTGTTCCCCTTTAAGGCAGTGAGTTATTTCAATCAGAATATAGAGTTGTGTCTTCAGATACTACGTAGATGTTAAGTGGTGCTTATTAAAAAAAAGTTCTGTCTCTAACAGAATATCTCTAATATTTTTCCATGGAGTGTTTCAAAAATCATGGACAGAAAAGAAATTGCCCTTGAAGTGCAGAGAAAGAAGAGATGTGTCATTGTATTTTTACCACTTCCCTTTCATAGTCTCTCTGTGACCATTAGTACATCATAAGATCTTGTTTTCTGATATCTGAGAATAACTTTCTTTATGACATACACTGTTGTACTGTAGTTTTTTGTGGTACAGCCAGAGATGCCAAACCAGTGATTTCTGTACAGAATTTCTCTGTAAGAGTGAACTGGAGAGAAGAACTGTAAGTTCTTGATATACTACCTGCAGAAAAGCTTCTATACTTAGTAGAGTAGAAGTTTATATATCCTCTGTCTTTAAGTTGGTCAGCACAATTTGCTAAATAGAGCTTAAACTATATGTGTTTGAGAGACCTTTAATTCTGCAAACTTTTTCAGTTTGGTTTAGTGTATTGCTAGGGTTTCAGCTGGGATTTAATATTTCTGTGAGAATATGAGTTTGCCATGGTCTCTGAACTTGTAGAATGTTATGGTGCATTTTTCTATGTAGATTTTCATTGTGATTTTTATGTCTTTCTTTGCAGATGAAAGTGGATGGAAAAAATCTTCTGAGTGCTTGCAAACTAGCATTTAAAATTTGCAGGAATGAAAAAAACGATTGCATCATTCAAAATGATAGATTGCTGGGTATGTATTCTGTTCTTGTCTCAAAGTTAGATGTTGGAATTCAGCAGTTAGATTGTTCATATTTCAAGAAACATTCTCAGAGTTAACTTAGTCACTTAGACTAAAAATTGCCTGCAAGGTCAAAATGTTGGTTGTTCTGGTCCAGTAATCTGTGTCTAACTGATGAGGGTGACAGGGGATGCTGTGTAGGGAGAGCATGGAAACCAACGTGTTCTCTGTCATCTGTTTCCCCTGTGCAAACCCAGCATCCAGACATCTGTATGGACACTGGATGGTGCATCCCTGCCTAGCCCTTTTTTTCTATGTTTATAGATCTTTTGTTCATTAATTTAACTAATTCCTTTTTGCACTTTCTGGTTCTGTCTGCCTCTGCGATCTCATAGAGCAACAAGTTCCAGAAGTTCTCTGTCTACTGTTTTAAACCTGTGTCCTTTTCATTATCCTCCTGCTTGTAGTTTTGCAGGATTTTTATGAGTTTCTCCAGTCAGCTTACCTTTCACCTTCATGATTTTTTTAAACCACAGTCATATCACATATCTCTGCCTTCTCCTTTTTCAGACTGAGGCATCTCAGCCTTTTAGCTCTCTCGTTGAAAGGATATAGTGTCACTCAGTTGTTTTATAAACCCTTCTCTGTACTTTCTCAATCTCCAGTAGATCCTTCTTGAGATTTTCAGAACAAAACTGTTTGTAGAAGTCAAGCTGTGTCTGCATCAAATGGTTTAGAAATGAAATAATGCTGACTGTGTTGTTGGCCATCATTGTTGGAGAGTCTTGAGAACAATCATTGGCTTTTTTGTAACTGCTGCTGCACATTGAACCAGTGATTTTGGAGAATCCTCAGTAATGGCTCTAAGATCTCTATTGTGATTGTAACTGTGTTTGTCATGCACACACACCCCCTGCAGATATGAGAAATAGGAAGAAAAGGACAGTGCATGAATTTTGCTCGGTATTGACTGGTAGTCATTCCTTTCATTAAAATTCAGTGTGTTGTATTAATGTAGGCCTTGATCTTGCAAACCTTTATTGCATGTAAGTTAAGGCATAAGTGTATATCTGCTTAAATAGATGAGAGTATTCAAGGTCTTAAAGTTTAGTACACAATTGTCAGAAATAAAGACAAGATAAACCTTTCTGGTAGTGAGGAAAGGACTCAGAGAAAAGAGAACAGTTCAGGTTGCTCAATTGACTTTAGATACTGAAAACTACAGTTTGTAGAGATTAGCATCATAGAGAGCATCTGGATAAGTCAAGTGGCTATGTCTGCCCAAGCACTGGGTTTTTTGCTCTCATTTCCATCTTAATTCACTTTTCTTTCACTTGCTCTTCTTCCCCTGTATTTTAAAAACTAGTGAAGAAAAGAATATTCTTGGTAGGAGGTTGGTTGTGTATTCACTCTTTATGTTTTGGACCCACCTTACCCAGGCCAAAGGCATAAACCTGGTTTATCATCATAATGGCCTGGATCCCTGTTGCAGTCACTGAGCTACAGATTCAGTTTCTTTTTCCTTCTCTGGCCCTGTGAACTATTTGTGTGCAGTGGAGCAGCTCCAATAGAAGAAATAGATTAATTGTTCATCCCAAAATAGACAACTACTGTTCAAGACCCTGTTTGTTACTGAGTGGAGCAGGAACCTGAGCCTGATTTCTCACATTGCCACAACCCAAGTGATTTAGTTGGTAAGGGTGAGAGTTTGGGCAAGAGCCTAGAGTGTGTGTACTTCATTTGTATACACTCATATACTTGGATAGAGTTTCAACTTGAGATAAGAGAGAAAAAACCTTAAAAATCCCTTCAGTTTGATGATATAGGGAGGTGTTTTTGTTCAATTGGAACTGGATGGAACATAGGGAGCAGAAATATGTGTCTGTATCAATCAGTTACTAGAAAGGCAAAGGTATAAAATTGGCTAGGTTTGCTTATTTGTTTAAGATAGCTCCACCAAGTTCAGAATGTCTCAGTCTGACTGTGAAAGATACATTGGACTTGTGCTAACAACTTTTAGTTTTAACATTTCAACTCTCTGAGAGTCATAGTGTAAAGCAAAACTTTCACAGTAACTTTACCTACATAAAAAGTAAATCTAAAACAGCTACGAGCTGACTTCAAATCTGGGATTTGAATTAGGCCCCTGTGCTTTTTAGAGCTCCATGGTTGAAGACATTTGATTTTTAAGGAAGTAGTGGGAATAAACCTCTTCAGAATGTGTCAAATCTAGTGCACAAAATTCCAGGCACACACAATCACTTTTGCAAATCTTGACTGAGGATTTCAGTGACTACTGCTGTGTTTACAACTGATGCTGGTTCTTGAAGCCTAGGAGAACAAAGGTCAGGCCCATTCTCTTATTCATCAATAATTGTTTCTTGGTTTCAATCCAAACACCCAGTTTTTCTAGTCCACTTATTAGAAATGTAAGAGTTCAATCTGAGGGGTTTTTACCAACTGTTAATCTCTTCAATGACTGGACTGTATCAAATATAAATGCTAATATTAGACTTTCTGAACAATGATTTTCCTTTTAGATTGTTTGTTGGAGGTTCTGAGAACTGAAGATCTACAAAAAAACAATGAAGCTCTCCTGTATTGCATGGGAGCTGTAAAATTCATGTCTGGAAATGCAGTACTCCTTAATGAAATGGTCAACAAAGGAGCTGTTGAAATGTTGCTGCAGTTAATGAAGCAGATTAATAACATAAAAGAGAGTGACACATATTTCTCCAACTTGAGCCACTTTTTAGTCCAGGTTAGCATTTAATTTTTATTTCTAAAAGTAAGCACTTCAAGGGCAAATTAAAAATTTAGTTAGAGGAGATAAGGTAAACCCTGTGTGCTATGGACAGAGTTGTACCTGTGTTTCAATAGACTTCTGCCTAAGAAGTTTAATGAAGTTGTTTGGGACCTAAATTTAATTAACACAGATATTTGTATGTAGTCAATTTTAAAGGCTTTAGAAATTCTGAAGTTAATAGATATATTTTTAGATAGCTAATAAACCAGTTTCTCAGTTTTACTTTGTGGTGCTGACAGTGTTCTGAATATTGTAGTAAACAGATAAAAATGTGTTCCCTGTTTAAATTCAGTACTCTAGGAAATTACAAAGAGCTTTTTATTACAAGACTAATGCATTTTTAAAATTGCATAGGAAAATCTAGCTATGTTTCTTTGACAAAGTGTTTTTGAAGGACTGAAACGTAAGGAAGAAGTAGTTGCAAAAGCAAACACTTTGTCAATCTTTTGAAGGCAGCAGGCTCAAAACTGGCTTTTCACATATGAAGCACCTTGATGAATGGTGGCTATGAAAACTAATCCTTTGTCCTAAAACTGTTTAAACCTTAGTGTTTTAGAAGCGCTGTGGGGTTTTTGTATTTATCAAGGATTTGCTAGGTGGATTCCTGGCGTTTATCTTGGGAGTCATTGATGTAATGATTAGCAAATGATGTAACGGTAAACTTCTGGGAACTTCATAGGAAAACATATTGAACAATTTTCTGAGGTAGTGTTTGCACTGAGTTTGTCTACTAATTATGGCAGATTTATTTAATTCTCTTCTAACTTACAACCAAGGGACTTTATACTTACTGAAATTATCTGAGAAAACAGATAGCTTACATCATCACCTTACTATTACTGGGTTTTGTCTGGGTTTTTTTAGTGGTGGTGTGAGGTATGTCTCTCCAGAATAGTGTGTGTAATCTTAAAACAAAACATAAGCAGATTGGGTGATGCTGTGAAGCACTGAATGAAATGATATGGCTTAATACTTAGAAAGCTCCAAAGTGACAAAGTGCTACAGACTGGGAGAATATATGATGAAACTGGAAATTTTATGCTTGTCATGTTCCTATTTCTTTCCTATCTGGTCCTGTGATCATTAAGTTTCTGTATAAACCACAAAATTCTATTTTATACACATGTGTCTTTAGAATTGGGCATTTTAACTTTCTTGTGGCTCTATGAATTCCCCAAACAGTTCTTACAACTCATACCTTATGTTTCTATGCAAAAACTGTGTATGGGATTTCCAAGCCTTCTTTTTCCAGAGAAGATGTACAAATTTAAGGTCTGCACATAGTCAAGATTTTAATGATCATATTTTTCTTGTGTGCTGCTGGTTAGACTTTGTAAGTCCTGGTAGTGCTGCAGTGCCCTGGTTGTGGTTTAACCCAAGCCAGCAACAGAGCTCCAGGCAGCCACTTGCTCACTCCTCCACCAGCAGGATGGGGGAGAGCATCAGAAGGATAAAAGCTTGAGAACTCATGAGTTGAGATAAAGACAGTTTAATAGGGAAAGCAAAGGCCACACACACAAGCAAAGCAAAACAAGGAATTAATTCACTGCTTCCCATGGGCAGGAGGTGTTCAGCACCTCCAGGAGAGCAGGGCCCCAGCACAAGTAATGGTTCCTTGGGAAGACAAATGCCATCAGTCCAAATGTCTTCCCCTTCCTCCTTTTTTCCTCCCACTTTGTGTACTGCGCATGATGTCATATGGTATGGAATATCCTTTGGTCAGTTTGGGGCACCTGTCCCAGCTGTGTCTCCTCCCAATCTCCCATGCACCCCCAACTTCCTTGCCAGTGTGGCAGCATGGGAAGCAGCAAAGGCCTTGGCTCTGTGTGAGCTCTGCTCAGCAATAACAAAAACATCCCTGCATTATCAACTCTGTGTTCTGCACAAATCCAAAACACAGCCCCATACTAGCCACTGTGAAGAAAGTTAGCTTTGCCCCAGCTAAAACCCCCACAGCCACCTTAGGCAATCAGTTTAGGTAGGAAAAAACCCTATTGAGGAGGGGCTGAGGGTCCAAAATATATTCTGTTCTCAGTGTTATTTGCAAGATTATACAGGCTTAAAACACCTAAAGTCTAAGTAAAGTAAGCTTAGATGAAAAAGTAGAGTGATGCCTCACATACAGAAGCTGTGTGGCCATTTCAGTGAGTGGATGTTTAGGCTGTATTTTTGATAGGCATCTTAAAACCTAAATTAGAGACATGTATCCTGTATCTTTTTTCATGTCTATGTAGTTCAAAACTGTTTATCCTTCTGAGCGCAAGAAGGGGATGGTTAAAATCAAAGCTTGTTACTTATTGACATTTGTTGGCTGCTGTTGGTGTTAGTCATATAATACATGTAATGGGAATCTTGGTGAGTAGAAAGTGATGCAAATTTATGTTAGATAGATATAAAAAGTTTTTGCCAGTTGGGGCATTTAAAAATAACAAATGATGTCTGTGTAATGAAACTAAGGAATCAGTTTATTTTCAGTATTTTGACTAGCTGATTGAACTTCCCCACAACTTTGCAGGAATGTTTTTTTTCAATTTTTTTTGCATGTGAATACATTTAGTCTTTTAAATCCAGGGTTAATTTTGCAAATGTGTGAAAGGAAGTTGTTAAATTTTACACTTTTTTTTTTTTTAGTCTCTCATTATCTCTGCAGTTCTCAGTACAACTGGAAGTGTAGCAAAACTACTTTGTGCAGTTTGAATAGTCTGACTGTTTCTAAGAAGGCCTTGAGTGTTTTGTGGAGAAGTCAATATTGGCAACAGTCTCTTCCTGAGGTTGCT